TGTTGTGATCCCTTAGAACCTGTTTGTAGATGGAATTTTCTTTCCCACAAGGTCCTGCAGCTGTTCAGTCCCAAAGAAACACATAAAGGCTTATATTAATTATAAACTGTTTGGCCTCTTAGCTCAGGCTTATTATTAACTAACGATTACAACTTAAATTAATCCATAATTCTTGTCTATATTTATCCATGTGGCTTGGTACCTTTTCTCAATAAGGCATTCTCAACTTTCTTGCTCTGCATCTGACTGATTACTATGTCTCTGCCTTTCCTCTTGCCAGAATTCTCCTAATCTGGTTGCCCCCACCTATACTTCCTGCCTAGCTACTGGCCAGTTGTATTTTATTAAACCAATATGAGTGACAAATAGTTACAGTGTACAAGAATATTATCCCTCAGCACCTGTTCTTTTAAATGAGAGGAAAAGGGGGATGTGGATCAGGATAAAATGGGAGGTAGGAGTAAATGGAGGAGAAACCCGAGTCAGGATATATTGTATGGAAAAAGAATTTATTTTTCAATAAAAAAGAGAAAACAAAAACAATCAAACAAAACAGAGTATCAGACAAGGAAGACAGACAGAAAAACAGATACCAGGATCATCATTCAATTTTCTTAAACCTTATTAAGAATCAATGGTTCTTCCACAGATTTTTGACTTCTTTATTTGGGAAATGATGCTTAAATATCATGAAATGAATGCTAGTTGTTATTGAAATATGCATATAATCATGTATAGATGCATACATAGAGCATAGATATAAATTAATTTCCCTCTCATCTATCTAGCTATGCAGTGCCCTACCTTCCCAGGGAAAGTATTGAGATTTTGTTCCAGGACTCCTTCAGATGCAAAATTCTACAGATGAATAATACTTGCATGTAATCTGTATAAATTCACTGACATAGTTTATATTATCTGTGGATTACTTAATATAGAAAATATTGTGTAAATATTATGCCAATAGTTGCTTCTATTAAGTTTAAAAATAAGAAGTTCTGACTATTTTGCCACAAAAAGCAAAAATCAAAAAGAAAATTCCACAAAATATAAAATAGTCAGAAAATATCACATACTTTTCAATAATAACCTTTTAATATCAATGGAGTCCATTCTCCAGGGATATACCTAGACTAGAAGACTGGATTAGAAGACAGGACCATGTTTTTGCTTCTTCTGAAAAACACACCTTGTCATCAGTGATAGACAACACTTAAATGAAAAAAGGTATTCAGAGCAAATGGAGATAAGCAAGTAAATATATTTCTTGTAATATAAGACAAAATAATCTTCCACTCATAGTCAGAAGAGATAAGAAGGTTTACTCCATACACATTAAAGGAATAATCCTCTAGGAAGATACTAAAATTTTAGATACATACTCACTAACAAGAGAACCTCACTTCATTAAAAAAAAAACTCTAAATACTGGTAGACCTAAAATCACATTTTAATTCCTATGTGATCATTTCAGGCAACTTCAATATCCTATTCTCACCAATAGATAGGTTATCTGGAAAAGCCTAAACAGAGAAATATTGGGAATAAACATCATAGTTTAAATAGATCTAACAAATGTGTACATCTACAGAACGTTATAGACAAACACTGAAGAACACATACTTTCCTCAATAGTCCATGGAAATTTCAATCAAATCAACCACATATATGACACAAAAAGGTCTCAATAAATATAGGAAAATTGAAATAGCATCTTGTGCCATGTCTCCCTCAATATTATTGACATCCCCTCTAGAATGGTAAGCCAATATAAATTTTCTTACATTCAAAAACATTTTTTAGAGATCTCAAGTTAATACATTAATAATGTAGCTGAAGACTTTGTAGAAATTAAAATCATGCCATTCACCAGTCGATAGGAAGAGACCCCCAAATTCATGGTTGAAATTAATGAGCACCAATAAACAAAAATATAAAGGGTCAATCAGAGGAAGATTTACTTCTTTGAAAAGATGGCAAGACTGATACCCCTTTAACCAAAGTAACAACAACAAAAAGTATCAAGACTCAAATTGATAAAATTAAAGGTGAATGAAGAAACAATAATCATTATTATTAAGAATAATGAAGGCATTATTAAGAATTATTAAGAATAATGAAGGCATAATTTAAATATTTTATTTCACTAAACTGGTGAAAATCTAAAATAAATAGCTAAATTTCTTGATGAACATGGCTTCCCAAAGGTCAATCAAGATGAAATAAACACTTTAAATAGATGTATGACATTCAATGATGCAGAAGTACTAAGTAAACATTCCCCAATTTAAAAAAGTGCAGGGCCAGATGGATTCAGTACAGAATTCTACCGGATTTTAAAAACACCAATACTCTTCAAATTATTCCGTGAAAAAGAAAAAGAACACAGCCATATTCTTTTCCATCAAGCTACATTTTCCCAATATCCAAACAAAATAAGCATTGAACAATAAATAGAATTATAAGGAAATTTCCCTGATTAACATAGATATGAATTTTTTAATAAAATGTGTATAATCTGAATTTAAAACCATATCTAAATTATCATCTACCATGATCGAGTTTGATTTGTCCCAGAGATTCAAAGATGGTTTAACATATCAAATCAAATACTGTAATCCCCATATATAAATATATTCAAGGATAGAAAAATACATGATCTTATCCTTAGATACAGAAAGGCGATTGAAAAAATTCAATATCCACTCAAGATAAAAGTCTTAGATAATCTAGTGATGCAGGAGGCATATCTCAGCACAATATGTGTAATATACAACAAACCCACAGCAAACATGGCACTAAATGGAGAAAGCCATTTGTTCTAGAATCAGGAGCACAATTAAGATGTCCACCTCTCCTCTCCTCTGCAGTATCATTCTTGCAATATTAGAGTAGTAAAACAAGACAAGATAAAGGGAAGATAACTAAGAAAAGAGAAAGTCAACGTTTCCTTGTTTATAGATGATATGATTTTATATACATATGTCTGTAAAGACTCTAACAGATGTTATTTTTCGAAATTCCCGGAACCTACAAGGATGATCTCAGCTAGGATCCTAAGCAATAGAGGAGAGGGTGCCTGGACTAGCCCTGTGGTCAGATTAATGAACATCTTTTTTTGTGTATGTGTGGGTGAGTATATCTTAAACGTCACCACAGAAGCTTCAACCAACAACTAATGGAAAGAGAGGCAGAGACCTACAACGGGTCGCTGGGTTGAGCATCTAAAGTCCAACTGAAGAGTGGGAGGAGTGAGAATATGAGCAAAGAGGTCAAGACTGTGATGGGGACACCCACTGAAACAGTTTACCTGAGCTAATGGGAGCTCACCAACCCCAGCCAGACAGGGAAGAAATTACCATAGGACCAAACTAGACCCTGTGAATGTGGGTGGCAGTTGTATGGCTGGGGACTGAAAGGCCACTGGCAGTGGCACTAGGCTTTATTCCCACTGCTTGTACTGGCTTTTGGGGAACCCATTCTCTTTGGATACATACCTTGCTCAGCCTAGATATAGCATGGAGGGCCATGATGGACCTTCCTCAAAAGAATGTGGCTCACCCTCTCTGAGGAGTGGATGAGGGTGGGGTGGGCAAGAAGGTGGAGGGAATGGGAGGAGGGGAAGGACTGGGAACTTGGATTGGTATGTAAAATAAAGATAGTTTGTTTTCTTTTTAAAATAATAAAATAAAATAAAAAACTCTAGCAGAAAACTCCTAGAGCTGATAAACACAATCAATAAGTAGTAGTTTATAAAATTCACTCTAAAATCAGTATACTTATTATACACCCAAAGCAAACATACTGATGAAGAAGTCAGTGAGGCAGTGCCATTCACACCTGCATCAGAAATGTTTGTAACTAAAAGATCTGTACAATGAAAATGTTAGACACTGAAGAAATTGACGATGGTAGCAGAAGATGGAAACAACCCCTAATACTCAAGGACTGATAGGATTAGTATTGGGAAATGGCCATCCTACCTAAAGGAATAAATATATTCAAGGCAATGCCCTCTTAACTTCCAATGTGACTCTTCAGATAAATGGAAAAAAATATTTCAAATTTAGTATGAAAACAAAATTACTCAAGATATCTGAAGAAATTTCTAACAATTAAACATTGCCAGAGGTACCACCACACTTGATATCAATTATACTATAAAAATAAACAAATATATTGATAAATGAAATAGAATTCATAACCCAGATATAAACCCACACTCCTATACTCACCTGATTTAGAAAAGTAGTTCTAAAATGCACATTAGAGAAAGGGGAGAATCTTCAACAAACATGCCGGTTAAGCCACATATAGAAAATAAAGCTGGATGCTTATCTCTCACCTTGCATAAAACTCAACTCCCTATAGATTAAGGACCTATGCATAAGACCTGATGAATCTTATAGAGGAGATATTATGAAGTACACTTGAAGTTATAGGTTGGAAGGGCCTTCTGAATAGAAGCAAGTGAGTATATATTCTTTGGTGATCAAAAATCAGATATACCTGAAACATTTACATGTACTTTGGCTGTAAACTTTCTTTATTCATCTGACAGAAAGAATTACGAAATGTTTTAGCAATGACATTGTTGTTGAGATGACGATAATAATTCCTCCTAAAGTGACTACTACGATGAGTGAATTTGATTGGAATAAATTCATTGTAGTCTACTTACTATAATGAATGCACAAGTGAGTTATCTATTTGTATTTTTTCTTATGTTGATAATAGATTCTATTTTCATACAATATATTGCGATTTCATGAATATTTAAAACTTATAGTAAGTTAAGTAAGTGCACAGTATTATTTCAATATGTCTATATCTTTTTCTAGGAATTGATTGTGATTGCTAATGGTTTTACCTGGTCTAATAAATTAGTTTTCTACCAGTAATTCTTATGTCAGGAAATGATATATGCTGAAAAATGACATAGGCTAGGCAATATGGAGACACATTTTACCGCTGTTGGGGCATCCAACCAACGACAATGATTGGTTTCCTAGTAAGTGTTTACTTGGAGACATTTAGTAATGTACAAAAAAGAATGAATAGCAACTGATAAAATCATTTACATGCACACATGTTATAGTTCTAGACAACTACACAGTCATCTCAGGTCTAGAATTTGAGCAGGATTCCTAGGAAGAGTCCATATCTATTTCATACAGTGTCAACTGGTATTTCTTGTAATCCTGGAAGCAGAGAATCAGGAGCCACCAAGTCTTACTCAGCATCTAGCACTTGGCTGTCGTCTCTGCCATTGCTGAGAATGCTGTCTGGAGACAGCTGTGAGCATTCATATTGCATAGTGCCTGTATTGTAGGAGCTCAGGTTCAAGTCGAAAAAGCAAGGCACTTAGAGTTTTGATTTAGCCTTTGAGGTCGCCCAGCATCACTTCTGCCACACTCTGTCAGCAAAAGCAGGTACAAAGGATGCCAGATTTTAAACGTAAATCCTGTCGTATAAAATAGGATGGACCTGAAGGTCACACTGGAAGAGGAGCATGTTGGATTGGATGTATTACAATTTTTTGCGTAATATTATGAGGCACAATTTTATGTTTAACTTAAGTGTTTAAACTTAAGTTGATGTTTAATTTTTAACCATACACTACACTTTTGGTCACCTTTTTACTTTAGAAAATACCTTTTTTTTTTCAAACTATTTACCCTGTCAATAAGATGCCATCTGACACAACATGGATTACTTGTATCCTATAATATTGCTTACATATAATATTAAATTTTTCAATTGGGCAAGAACAATGCCTTGTGTGAACACTGTTGCATCTCTAGAGACTGAAAAATGCCTGTCATACAGAGGAGTGCTCAATGAATCAATGTTGCATAAAAAATTGTATTGAAATTTGATGGCGTTTTCTAGTTGTTTTGAAAACTCCAGTGTCTTTCATCTTTATAATAATTTCAGTATTACTGATTGTATAGGTCAGAATGTGGGCGTTTAGGATTATTTTCAGAGGTTAGGTTTTATTTTCTCGGATTTAGGGATTTTTAATTAGTGGTTTATTCCCTTATATTCTCCAAGTTTATTCTACCGCTTCCTACTATACCATTTGGAGTATATCACATACTATTAGACATTATTTCACACATATATTATGGTTGTTTGTTACTTTACCTTGCAAGTTTCTTAAGGGTTAAACTGTTAGAAATGATCTAACCCTAAACATATTTATTCTACCATATCATAAAGACTTCTTGTTAAATGTTGAGAGAATGCTTGAGAAACTAAATGCCTAATTGGTGTTAAATTCCTTTCAACTATACTTTCCTTAAAAGAAAAAAAGATGACTTATCCCATGAAAATGATGGAATTTAAAATTTAATAAACCCAATTACCTGAAACAATTTATTAAGCTTTAGATCAGAATAAGCAGATGCATTCTTAAGTTTAGCTTTAGATAAGCTGTTTTCATATTCTGATCCTTTTTTTTGAAAGAGTAACTTTAGAAATTCTTTGTTTCTAAAGTAGTACAAAATCTTTATGAGATGTGCACACATAATCTCTCTCCATCCTAGAATCGGGAAGGAGCTGGCCACACAATCTCAGAATCCAGGGTGACATGTATGGGTCTGTTATACATGCTTAAGAATGTTGCTGGGTCCATGAATTCATCAGCTTTGCACAGGTATTGGATAGTTTGTTCTGGGAGGAGGAGGTCAGGGGCCATTTGGTGCAAGTTGTCACCCGGCCCTTTCATTCCGACTTTCACGGTCTTAAAGAGGTGAAATGCCAGTTTGTGAGTCATGGTGAGAAAATCTGTGGTGACCTCCGAGAGAGACTGTGACTGTGTCACGTCATCTAGATACAGCACGGGAACCTTGATGGCAGAAACATGCCACTGCATGAACAGCCTTGTGGGGATGTTATGAGAAGCAACTATAATTTTGACGTTTTGGATGATAAATTCTTTGTCTTCCTTCTCGTGGGCAACATAATCTAAAAGGATTCGGAAGAGCGTGCCATTGGAGGTCTCAAGGATATGCAGAAAAGTGTTTGAGTATATGAGCAGTAAGCCCGTAACTGCCTCTCCTAAGTGATGCTTCAGAATTGACTGGAAGAGGTGCTCGTAGTATTCAGAAATCTGCTTTTTCTCCACATTGGCTTGTAGGTGGCCCACAAGAAACATCCTGTGAAGGAGGAATTTCTTTAGCTGTAGCCTGTGTTTCTCTTCCTGAAGGTGCATGTAATTGATTCGAGGAACTTTGGGCATCAGTAGAGGGTCCACCTGAAAATGCTTTTTGCTGCCTTTCCGATTATGGACCATGAAAGACATGATGAATCTTATTTTTTCTTCTCGATGATTACAAGTCTCACTGGTGATGAACTCTTATTTTTATTTCTTCTGATAAAACAGCAACAACAAAACAACACAAAATGCGTCAGGTGTTAATGAATAACAATATCCCTACTCAATGCTCTAGACAATGTCTTTGAGATGGAGGCAAGTGTGAAAACAGGACTAAAAACATAGAGATGGTTTCTGAGTTCACAGTGAAATAACTCTTACGTTTAGTAGCAGGCCTCGCTGTGCCATGGTGATTACAAATTATACTTGAGGCTTTTAAAATGGTGTTTCTATAGCAAGTGCTTTATCTAACATTTAAAATAAATTTAACTGGCCTGTAAAGTAAAAATAAATGAAGAGTACTCTAGGCTATTGTTATTTTATTTAATATTTACTATCAATGTTAAAAGTCAAAAATGCTGCTTTAATCAAAACAGTAAACTTTTAAGAGAAAAAGTTAAGTTGTTTGGTTTATCCTTTTATCAATAAATCTCTTCTATTTTGCTGCTTTGCTGAGGTTTAAATAAAAGCAGACTTCTGCTTTGACCAAATTTCATGTCCCAGCTCCACTCCTAAGCCACCTTAACTTTCTTCACACACCGTGTACGTTACCTGTCTTTGAGGTCCTCTTGACCTGACCTCTGTCATGCTTCCAACTGCCAGTGCCCTGACCCTCAACTGTCCTATCTGGGGTTCTAAGCCCACAGGTCAGGAAAGGAGTTAGAACACCTTTGGCAACAAAGAGCCGAAGCATAACTAGTCCTAGATCAACTTTAATGAGAGTACCCCAATAAACATGCGCACAGCATTGTGGATTGTGGGGAAATAAAATGAAACATATTTCAGAATGCCTTTTGTTCTTTCTTTTATTTTTTTGTTTACGACACACACCCTTGCCTGTCAGACATGTGGTCAATGTGAGCACCTTCATTTACATCTCTGCAATAGCAGTAGAGCTAGTACCTATAGCTCACTTATATACTAGTTAAAGACTATAGGAATACATCTGACTCTTTCTAATAATGAATCTTTTATACAAATGTTTAACAATACCGTTTGGGCTACTTGATGTGAATTTAAGTTAGTTTTTAGAGTTGAAAATAAAAGTGCCTTTTACTATTATACGCACATGAGCTCATGTGACAAGGCTAGGAAACACTTTGATCTAATTTTAAAAAATGAACCTTAGAGAACTTTTTTTTTTGCCTGAGATTTTCATTATTCAAACTAATGATCTGATTTTAATAATTTGCAGTGATAAATTATTCCAGAAAGTGAAGGCTGAGAGGTGATTTAATAAATCTTTAATTGTGTGATACATAACAATCGCCCATAATTCCTCATTCACTGTGATTCAGCCCATCACTCATTGAATCTTTGCTAAGCGGTTCACTTAGTCAATGCCTTGTCTGGGGCTGCTGTTCTCTGCGTTCTCCTCGTGGCTATGTGAAAAGGACAGTTTGACCACCGTCTCCAACAGCCCCCTTTTCTTCCCTGGTTTCTTGGAACTGGATGGCCCTATTTTCTTTTTGTCCCCAAATCTCTTTCTGTGATCTGGTGGAATTCTTCTGGTATCAAGTTCTGGACAATGCTGATTATCATAAAGATAGTTCATTACCATAAAAATTCATTATCATATGCTGATACCATAAAGACCTTACACCCTGCCTCCTTGCAGTAGTTTGGTGACCTCTGTATTCACTTTTATGAGGACATCAGAGAGATTCTTGATGCTACTCCTGCCTCCTGATTGCCTAACTGAGGCAAAGCATCAGTTCCCCTGAGCCCATCTATGGGATCTTCTCACTCCAAAGCTTCAAGGTGGACACAGCTAGTTAATTGACACTGACAAAACAAACAAACAAACAAAAACAAAACCTGAGCCCATTCAAAAATCTCTTTACAGAAGACTTTTCCATCATTGTATCCAGTTACTTATTTGTAACTCCTTTCCACATATGTTAAATCTACTCCTTGAAAATTTAGAAACCAAGATGATAAACGTTATTTCTATTAAGCTATTTTCCATTGCCAGGATTGTCTAGTGCCAAATGGTCAGCCCCCTGAAAACATACATAAAGGTAACATTATACAAACCTAACAGGTTATATTCAATGACTATTAGTGAAAAAATAATATATGAATTTGAAGATGAGCAGTAATTGTATATGGGTGGGTTTGGAAGGTAAGAGAAATGTAATTGCAAAAGAGTCTTAAAAGCAAAATAACCCTAAACTGTGAAAGGAAATTCCTTACTAATATCTGGGTTAATTTTTTGTCTTGTAGTTTCTAGATCAAACTCATTTGTCTTGTGTTTTTATATCCTGAAAAGCAAATCCCAAATTATAAGCCTTACCTTCTTTTAAAAGTTCTTATTTTTCTAGAGTGCCAGCTTACACCTTTAATCCCAGCTTGTGGGAGGCAGAGGCACGTGGATGGTCCCTGAGTTCAAGGTCAGCCTCCTCTACAAATCAAGTTCTAGGGCCACTTTGGCCACATATAGAAACACTGACTTGAAAAACTAAACGAAAGTTCCTTATTTCAAAATGCGTTTGGTTTCCACTGCCTCCTTAATAGTCCTCTAGATTTCTCCACCCCAAATATTAAACTCAAAGTATAGGATGTAAACCTGTATAATAATTCACATAGTTATGTTTATATTTTTGAATGATTTTACGGGGTCTTTACTGATACTTGAATACTAGGAAAGGAAGATCTACATTGGCTGTGTGCATGATGATCTATATTATTTCCAACCCCAGGAGTGAATTAGACCAGAGTGAACATAGGGACATGTAACAGGATGGTTTGTTACCTAACATAGGCGCTGCTCATAGTCATCAGGAACTTACAGTACATCACTGCTACTAAGGACCCCTGTCTGAATCCACAGAAAAATAGTTTCTTTAATTTAAAATTGATCGGAATGTGACAGCTTTGTGCGGTTCTATCTAATGCATCTAAAATAATAGTTTTACTACCCCAGATAGGCAAACAAACATTTTATATACAGGTAGGATTGATTTCATCAGGCATTCTTTAGATAGAGCACAATTTCCTTCCAAGCGCCAGCCTTCAAAATAAGGTTAACTGTTGGATTATATTATCCCACTTACCTATCTGCTCTCATTTATGTATCTTATTCTGATTATAATTCGCCCTCAGAAAGAGCACATGAGAAGAAATGATAACTTGTATATGGGCTTAAATTGAGATTTTAACTCACTTCCCATATTGCCACTGTCTTTTGGGGCTCCATAAATCTTGAGATAAATAATCAATATTTTAGTTCTTGTCTTCACTCTCATCACTTCTTTCCAGACATTAAGCACCCTTAACCTGCATTGCTCCTGCTGAATTGCTTTCTTAAGATTTGTTTCTTTTCTTTTTAAAAAGAGATAACAAGCTATCTTTTTTAATTATACAAATCAATTCAAGTTCCCACTCCTTCCCCTCCTCCCATTCCCTCCACCTTCTTTCCCACTCCACACCCATCCACTCCTCAGAGAGGGTAAGGCACATTGCTTTGGGGGAAGGTCCAAGACTCTCCCTACTATATCTAGGCTGAGCAAGGTATCCATTAAAAGGAAACAGGATCTCAAAAAGCCCATACAAGCAGTATGGATAAATTCTGGTTCCACTGCCAGTGGCCCCTCAGTCTGCCCCAGCCATACCACTGTCAACCACATTTAGAGAGACTAGATCGGTCCTTTGCTTGTTCCTTCCCAGTCTGCCTGGTGTTGATGCGCTCCAATTAGCTCAGGTAGACTGTTTCAGTGGGTGTATTTATCATGGTCTTGACCTCTTTGCTCATATTCTCACTCTTCCTATTCTAACTGAACTTTGGGAGGTCAGTCCAGTGCTCAGATATGGGTCTCTGCCTGTGTTTGCATCAGTTGCTGGATGAAAGGTTATACGGTAATATTTAAGATATTCATCAGTCTGACTACAGGGCAAGGCCATTTTGGGCACCCTCTCCTCTATGTGCTTACTCATAGGTGGATATTAGCTATAAACAAAAGATATTGAGCCTATGGTTCATGATCCTAGAGAAGCTAAGTAACAAGGTGAACTCTAAGAAAAACATATGGAGATATACCTGAAATGTCGAAATAGACAAGATCACCTGACAAAATTGAAAACATGGGGAGGGTGGATAAGGGAGGGTGGAGGGGGAGGGGCAAGGAGAACTTGAGGGAGTGGGATGGTCGAGACGGAGGAAGGACAGAGATGAGAGCATGGAAAGGGATGTCTTGATTGAGGGAGCCAATATGGGGTTAGCAATAAACATGACACTAGAGAAGTTTCCAGGAATCTACAGGATGACCCCAGCTTAGACCCTAAGATTTCTGTTTCTAATAGCATCACAGCGTGAAAGGCTCCCCTACTCCTCTGATGAACGCAACCTCTTCTGGAGATTCCGGGTGCCTTTCTCACTCACGCTCCTGGAGAAGGAGCTCACTAGTGGTATCCTCCCACCCGATGTGTGGAATTTGCCGCTCTTCTCTTTCACATATATTTTTTATTTCTAGTATAAACTTAATAGAAAAATGGGTTTTCACCAATTTAAGTAGATAAGTGATGCAATATTTCAACTAAACTAGTCATTTTTCAAAACATACGCATCTCCGAACAAAATCTAGTTGGTGCCAGATTTAAAAACATATATAATCATTTCTTTATTTTAAAAATTGGTTATGACAGCTTTGTGTGGTTCAATCTAATGCATCTAAAGCAATAGTTTGACTATTCCGATATGCGATTTATAGTTGCGGCTTTATTCTATTTCCCCAGTATGTTTTTCCCTATTTATCAAACGTCAGATCGGTTAGTCACTTGAATTACAGTAGTTTTGCTACATGACTATCTAAAAAGTTTAGGTGGCATTTATCCTGTTTTCTTGCTTTTTGTTAATCATACTAAGATGTCACCAGTAAAAAGGGGAAAGAAACAGCATGCTGTTTGAACAGTTTCTGTTTGGCTGGAATGTAGAGCTCCTGTTGTACACTTTTGCTTTAGTAGAGACTCATTGTGTGAGCTCCCACGCACAACTATCCTAGTTACCCATCTCAGATGTAGAATCCCACAGAATTCTTCTCCGTATTGGCCTGGCTTAAGAAGCATTTGCTTTATTTTATCTGCAGTGGTCTAATTAGAGTGACTGTATATGTTCAAGCGGTAATCACTTCACAGTTGGTAGGAACTTGTGGTGTTAGTCCATTTTAGTTATTCCACTTATACTCCCTGTTAGTTCATGTCAGCTTATTTCTCATAACATACTCATAACACATGTCACACGGTACCGGTACATTTTGTGATTGCTTTTAGACTTCGTACTCTGGTATGTTGCCCAGAATCAAGTGTTCTTTGATAAACTCCCAATGTCCTCTGTTTGGTGTAGGACACATTGGTCAGATAAGAGAAGCTCAGACATCATTAACGGCCTGGAGTAACTACTTTTTCACTTACCCATTTAATATTAATAATAAGCCTTCTTAGAGTGCTTATTGTGAGAGACATATTATTACAGGGCTACCTTAGGTAAGTGGACATTCTTTTCACAACTTGTAGAGGACGTCGTTAAAATAGTGGATAAATAGTTTACACGTTGTTTAAATCTTCTCTCATCAACTTCCTTGTTATGCTTACATTAAAACCCCACCCACCC